ATTTTGTCCTCAAGACAAGGAGAAGAAAGGGTCTTAGTGAAGATGTAAGTGTGGCTAAATTCCTAGAACCAGAACTCTTTGCTAGTTTGAAGGAAACGGGTATTTTGGACGGGTAGGTAGGGTTTATCGAGTAAATCTATCAAACGCGCGTCCTGATGGAACAAAGAGCTTGGCAGAGATCTGTGAACCTGGGGATTGATTATCGCATACTACATAAAGTGTGATCGTTCTTCCAAATCTAGAAGAGAAGTGATATATCATATGGGCGTTTCGGGGTGGTTCGTGCATAGCGAATTGAAACTACTAAATAAATGAAAAATAATTAAGACCCGTATACTCCGTATGTATGCGTTTTGGCGCGTATGTGCAATTGAAAATTACGTCAAGGTGTGATCAAATCATAGTAAATTTCACGTATTAGAATCAGGCCACAAGAATCATGGGAGGTATCTCTGCATGAAACTGGGAATGGTGGGTTTCCCACTGCACTCTGTGCATGTTCATCTACTGCAGCTACGCTGGGATGTTGACAGTGGTGGTTCGAGGGTTGTCGATTTACTTTGATTATCTAAACTTAGTAAACTCGAAATCTACCTAACATGGTTTATCAGTACGTGCATTATATTAGTATATACACTATTATTTTTATATACAAAAAACGACTGTATATAATTATACACTTTCTTTATTTATTGGTATAATTTAATTTTTCTTTATATATATTATATTTATTTATATAAATAATATAAAAATAAATTAAAATAGTAAAAAATTATTTAAAGAAATAGAATTTTATAATATAAAGTATAATATTCTTAAGCTACAATTGAAATATCTATAAAAAGATTAAATTTTATAAATACTTCATTTTTATTATTTATAAGAAAACTTTTTTAGAGAAAAAATAATGATTAATAATTTAAATAAAAATATTAATAAAAGACTAATTTTGGTGTATTTTAAAGTAGTATACATACTAATATGATGTATATACTAATAAATCATGTTAACTGTCGAAACACGTAACCAATAATATAACATTACATATCACACTTTACCCTACATACATATAAAGTATATAAGTAAGGGTAGTATATATATATAGATATAGTAATTCCCTCTTCATATAAAGAGGTTAGACAGAAATAAACAATCTTTTTACTCATACATATTATGTATACACACCTTACTAAGTCTGCTCAACATTAACCTTATTAAACCTAATATAAGAAAATGAAAGAAATAATTTTAAAAACTTTAATAAATTATTATCAAATTAATAATCATTATTCTAATCTAGAATTAATAGTTCTAATAATATTTAATAATAATTAAATAAAATCGAGTAAAGAAGACTTTTCAATTCTAATTATAAAAAATTGAATTTAATAATTCAATATTGAAAATATAGAGATTATTAAAAAAAACTGAAAAAAATATTGAATACTAAAAGGTCTGACTAGAAAAATCGATGAAATACTCAATCTACTTCGTAGATATTATTCGAGTCTTTAGGAGACCCTCTAATATGTCAAATAAGGATTCTAATACATATTATAGAAATAGCTAGGATTAGATTTAGTGTCTCGTTTATCAATTACATGAAACCTAATCCCGACTATTAATTAGAAAAAAAGAATTATTATTGAAAATTTATTATTTAAACAATTAATTGGATAATACTTGAAATGATTTTCTAATTTAATATAATTTATGAAAAGCCTTTAGAATCTCTAATGATTTTATAGAAATTAATAAACCTTAGAGTGTTACAGCTCAAGTGTAGCTTGATATAACTAGTATTACCAGGAAACCTCACCTGGCACATAAGAGGGTCTGATGAAAGCCAGGAAGACCCTCGACCTTTAAGATTGTGAAATACTAAGCTTAATGCGATTAAGTAGATTCCGAATTTACTGAGTTTAGACGGTATGGTGCAGTGCCTCGAGCGCACACTCAGCATTTATAATATTAGAGCGCAGAACTCAAAAGCTAACTGAGGCAAGACAACTTACAAGAGAAGTGGAAGATCCTCTGATCAAGAGGGCTACTATTACTAGACGCTGGTGATCATTTTGAATGGAAATCGGATTGCAGATGCAACATGGGTAATGGATAGTGGATATGGAGTCGCTTGACTAATTACCTGCGATCTCTGCAGGTGTGCATATACACATGCGTTTGAATAAATTCAAGGCTCTCTGTCTGCATTTGATTCTTATGATTCTTATCTCTATGTTTCATTCTCATCTGCATCTGCATGTGCCTGACACACATATACTCTGTGAATAAGTGATGAATAATGACTGGATAGGTAAGGCCATGAATGGTACGTATGGAACATTGAGATACTGGTGCATACGAAGTAACCTTACATGACTTGATCCCACCATCCTTCTACTCACTCACGAGTCGCGACAGTAGGCGCAGAAAAAGAGAACACTGAAAGCTCTGTCTTTCTAGATTGATGAATCTATCAATTCACCCACTTGTTCGGTATGTAGATCGTAGGAGAAAAACAGGAAACCTCTATATTGTATGTATGCAGACTCCAGAGGGAATGGAAAAACTATTGTTCCCTCCATATATATCCCTGGGATTTACATTTCGATAGGTACAGGTACATGGTACATGTGTTTATGTATCAACCCTGGCTGTTGATCTGGAGTTGGGTTACCTCGCGAGTCGCGACCCGGAGAAAAAGCCAGACGCGAAACCCGCAAAATTGAAAGAAAATCTAGAAACAGTTCCTTTTCAAAATTCAATCAAAAGTTCTTTATATATTATAATTATTAAGAAAATAGAGATATATAGTTATTCTTTGATAAATCATGAATACAAGAATCTTTTTTTTTTAAAAAAATCTTTTATTTTTGTTTTGATACTAAATGTTGTTTGGGGTGTAGAATTTTGGTGGATCGCTTTTTCTCCGGGTCGCGAGGTTACCCGATTCATAGAGCGATGGAAGGGATGTCTACATCTGCTTTGTAAACATTGGGGTATGCGAGTTTGGGTGTTGGTACCTGGGAGTTGCGAATGTCATGTTATGTGTACGATTTTAAGTAAAGTTACATAGTAATATATAAATTTAGTAGGCGCTGTACATATACATGCATAGATATGGATTACATGTACGAGAGGAATTTGATGGATGGATTGTGGTAAGGCTACAATTACGCGAAAACGATTTCTCTCTGGAGTTGCCCAATTTTAATCATTCTTTAAACAGAATACAGAAACAACATCTGTATGGGTAGTAAGACCAAAGAATGCCGCTATGCGTTGGTATAATAAGGAGAGGAATTTAGTCTGTCAGATTGGTTCCCCTTACTATAAACATCAGTCCTCCAAAATGAAAAGTATGAAAGGATGAAAGATGATCCGCGGGCGCGTGGACATGCACGGATAATTGATTAATTCGATCTAACACTTCTTCCTCCCAACGCAGTCATCAATTGTACCTACACCCAAGTAGCTATAGTAAGAAATTCATAATCGCAAATGTTACCACTTCCTAACTCTTGATTCCTCTACATGCCATGTTCTCATCCTTCATTTGCATCAGACAATATATCCAATCAAATAATTCACCAGGTGGCATAAATGTGCCATAGAATTAATACATTTATGCGGCTCGGTGATGCCGATATGTATGTACTATGCATGATGTTCAAAAATGTGAATGGATGGAAGCGATGTTCTATCATAATGAACATGGATGATGAGGTTATTGATCTGAACGGTGGTTTGATTTTCATCTGATCAACGAACAAACGAACGAAGTGGTCGAATCACTGGGTGAGCCCAGGACCAGGACCAGGGTATGGTAATGGTACATTGGGCTAAGTGAGCTAAAGAATAATTGAGCATCATTGTCGGGGTAGAATGCTTTGTAGCTTGTACAACTTCTGTTCTAATGACCATTGGGGAGAGTGGAATGTTGAAGTTGATGCTGATAGGATGAAATGATTGATCTGGGAAATACACTTATCAATGAGAAATTAGGTTATGGCAATTCCCCAATGAAGAAACTCAATGCACTGGGGGTGGCAAGTGTGGATTGGAAGGTTTTGAATTCCATGGGGGTAGACTATGAAAAGAGGAAGGACGTCGCAAACTTGTCCAGCGTTGACTGATCTAGCAAGGAATCATAGCTGTGATCGTCTCGCAAACTTTGTGCCTCGTGAAAATCTCGTGTCTACAGTGTATGGACGAGGATAATGACTGGCCCAAGAAACGTAAAAGAGGCGAAGAGGCGGGGATTTACATATTAAGCACGTGTGATGGAATTGTTCTAGATTTCAAGGATTCAAATTTTTGAGGTCCCCGAAACCTTCTTTTCATGGGATTTTGAGAATTATGCTTATCTTGAGTGGAGAGCTACTGACAAGCGAAGACGAAGCAGAAGTTTGTACCTAGCCCCTGAATACGAAATAAATGGGTGGCATTAAATGTGGTGCAGTCTTGTCAAATGCGATGAGAAAACTTCAGATGAAATTAATAGTTGCGCATTAAAGGAAAGGAAAGACGAGGGTCTGCGTAAGCTTCGTGACACTTTTTCATCACTACTACCCCCGAGGCATGATTAATTAAGCCCTAGAGTTGCAATCTGCCAGGACGTATCTAGTGGGCCGAATGGTCTCGAGTACTTGGGAATGAGGGAATATTGTAAACAAGTGGAGATGCTGCTGTGTTTGTGGGGGTAGAATTTGCATGGGAGCCCTGTTAAAATGTCGACTTTTGGTAGGTCGACAAGTTTTGCAATATGAAAATATGGATTGGTGACACCTTTGCAGTAGGGATTGGAGGTTTGATTGGCTGTCAAAAGAGTCATTTATGAAGCGGGTTTGTGGTAATCTTTGACACTTGTGGAGATCGACGATGGGAAAGTTCTTTGGAACTACTAGAACTTTTGAACATTGACCACACTCGTTGAACTTTGGGGAATATTGTGACACAAATTAGACAACAAGGCGCAGAAAGATTCTCCAAGAGTTCCTCTTTGATGAGCACAGTACCTGTATTGTGGTATTACACGCACATGCACATGCATATGCCAAAATCGATATGTAGTACTTAAAATGGATTTTTGTGATCATACTCCACATTCGTAGTTCATTAATTGGGGACGAATCTGCGAGACTTTGAAAAGTATCAGAGTATTGCGGAAGTGATCTCGTATATGGCAACGGTCTTCCCGATCATCCTCGTAACGAGGAATTCCCTGCACTGGCTAAAGCGGTTTCATGGAAATTTTATGTCTGTCGTTATGATATCATCAGCCATCAAGACAGGTTTTCATCATTTTCCTTAACAAATTCATGAGATTATCATTCTCGAGGGCAGCCGCAACACGCTCCTTGTCAGCCAGTTGCTTGTTGACTTCATTGGCCTGACTGTGTGTATCCTTCTTAATCTTGACCTCGACTCGATATCCTGGCGGAAGAGCTTGTTCCAGACGTACTCGAACGCCAAGTCCAATAACAGTTGCTAGGGAGCAATGTGAAACCGTTGGCGTCAATTCGACCAGTACGCGAGACAGTGCTGCCGGGTTTGTAAGATCGGGAGGCGAAACAAGATGAACATCCTCAAGCTTAACTACTCCGAGAGACTCCAACGAAAGAGGGTGCTCGGGGTCGGAGATTGGTGCAATCAAGTCTTCAAAATGTCAGCTATGCAAACTTTAGAAAGCCACTGACCCTTTTTTTTTACTGAATTGTAGATAGTGCTAGTTATGGTAATGAATGGAGGAGAGAGGTATCAGGATGTTTGAATGTTGGATTTTGAGATACTGAAAATAGCAAGTATGATATGTGATGCGATGCTGGGATGTATCCAGCACCCGAAGAACAGCTAGTATGTTTAGAAATACGGGAAATGCTTACCATAGATTTCCTGTTCATCTATTGGCTCTAAGCCAGAATCATCCGAGTCTTCATCTGAGAAATCTGACATATAAAAAGGATCCAGTGCATAGGTGGGTTTTGCCATCAATATGCTCTGTATACCATGTTTCTTGGCCGAATAATCTCGAACCTGGCGCTTTTCTCTTCGACGTGATATTTCAGACACATTCAAGATCGTAGGATTCGCGTTGTCTGCCGATGCCATATTGGGCTGGTTTGGGGGCCACTTAGGGCTCTGCTATCTCAAAGGAATGGTTTTCCTGTGTAAGTTGGATACCTGACGAGTTCAACGTTGTGACTCGGGGTAAATATATTCAGCTAGACTTGCGAATCGATAGACAGCGGGTTGTTGAATGGATTGCAGGTTAGAGATGCAGAAGTTTGAGCTATGGTGTCTTGAGTCCTTGAATGGATATGTGATAATGACCAAGAAGTTTATCAAATTCCCTTTATCGATAAAGCGAAGTGGGATAATTCTCAAACCTGAGGCATCATATCTTTCTATGACTAATCATCCCATTATTGAGGGACTCCAATCACAAGTATTCGACTTGGAAATCGTAAATATAATGATAAATTATAAATAAGTTACACCAATGAAGCTTGCAAATATTCGAGTTTATACTGTCTCCTATGACATTTCCATGCAAGTCCCTGTTTTGCCTTGCTCTTTGTTGTTATAGTAGTCCTATTTCATAAAGTGTCTATCCTCATCTTCATCTCGTACAAAGTTTCGAGTCCCATATTAGAGACTAACTTTGACAGTTGTCGCATACTTCGTGCAATCCCATGGCCAGAACTTGGAAGTTCAAGGATGTATCGAAAGCTCATCTCAGAGGCTCAGAATCCAAAAATCCTGAAAAGGTTCATGAAGGATCAACAAGCACGAGCCATCTGCATCTCGTGGCGATCCTGCGCTTCCAAGGTTAAAGGTTCCGTGCTATACTCGTTTCCGTGCCGGAAGATCTCTAAACCTAGTCCCTTCATATTTGAGATTGCGAGACAAATGGAACTCGTCGACAAGCTAGACCCTCTGTGTAGCTTCAGATGATCAGATCAGCCAGTCCATGATCCGAATGTCCGTAATGAACAGTGTAGAATTTGAATCTCGGACTTTTATTCTTTTGCTTTCAAAGACACCAAGCTTTGATGTACGTTGCAGGTAAATTAGACTACCACTGCCTGTGCGTCCTACGAAGCCAATGGCCTTTCTATGCCCTTGTCGACAAAACAAACACGGTAATCAGGTTATGGCGGCAATGATATCTACCTTTGTGATGTACTCTTCTGTGCAAAGGATCGCTGGCTCGAGGAACTGCAAGGGGGAGAAATTGGAGTGGAGAGATTATCGATCCATCTGCAGGATATAGCCAATCTTTGTCTATCGACGCCCAAAGCCATCAAATTTCTTTCTCTACCTCCAGCAAAAGAACACTGGACCATAACAAGACCTGCATATATTCTTCCCTTGTGAAAAATCTTCAATGGGCATGAGATATTGTTGATTCACCGAACCATGTTGTCGGGTTCGTCTCTGCTTGTCGAGTGGCTGCGGGTTTGGGGCACGGAATCATGAGGTTAAAACATCCAATCTTTTGGCTTGTCCTGAAATCTCAATATTCCTTGTCACAGCCGTATCGCATGTGCATTGTTCGCTGCATTTGCTGGCCATTGCATCCCACATCGCTTGAGAACTGATACCCGGCGACCTTTTCCGGGGCTGTTTAGAGGCTAGTACAGTGTTTGCGGGGCAGTAGTACTTGTCTAGAGATCCTGGAATCCACTCACCATCTAAAGAAAGCATTATTAATGGGGCCGTTTTCTAAGAATGTGTTGAGAATGTGCAAAAATACATTAGATAGATGCAACATGCACAGCGATGCTTTCAATATTGAATGGTTCTTCGTACACTTTCGTATTCTCCTGCACATGCCCCCAGTACTTCGGTATGGAAGTGCTTTTCACACACCGCCAATGCCATGAAATCACTACAGAAGTCTTGAAACGGACAATATATTTGTTGTTATACAAAAGTTGCTAAGCCGCCTTAAGTCCTAAACAACTAGGACTTTTCGGGGATATAACGGTATCGTTATCAATCAAATGAAGATGAGCTTAGGGGCAGAATAAATATCCGTTTGTTGAGTGCGAGTACGAGGACCAACGATTGATCCTTTTTCCTGTTTCTTCTCTAGTGCAGGCAGTAAAAGAGAACAGAATGGTATCTATTTGCCGCGATTACCCCTCATATGGCCCTAAAGCACCCTAAAGACGAACGCCTAACCATATGAACGTAACCTCGGACTATTGTCATGGACCTAAAGTTCCATCATGCTTCTAAGTCTGAACCCTAAATCCAAGTACCTATGATCTATCGGTAGGATGAAGTGCTTACAGGCTACAGCCTTCCACACCTGCTGTAGCACAAACTCAATTCCAAGAACGATGCCTGCTTTCTGTGCCCCACAATATTGAGCTATTCTTTACTTCTTTCTTCCCTTCTCATAATTTCATAAATCGGTATGGATGATCATGACAAATGTGAAATGCATTCAACTTTCTGCATTTTGACATGCTGGATGCGGTACCTATCATCCAGGAGGCCATTGTGGGTACAGACAGGACTACGATGAACATCACATCCTTCCCACTGATCACCGTTTCACACATCCCAAAGTGGTTTACCATGCATCACCGGTCCGAAGACTACATTCTACGGGATCTTCTTACCTGTAGAACGATGAGCAAATTGGTATGGTCCCTTCAATCAATCTTACTTGTGAATCTGCGATCCCATAGCTATCTTCGAGACTTTAACGCATATAGTCTACACGAATGATTGAATGGCAAAGACGCCTCGGTAAATTTAGGCCGTATTCTGTAACCACCAAAAAGCCTTCTCCCCGGAATCTCACAGTAGCACCGGGTGTACCTGTACCTGTCTGTACCCGTGCCAATTGCCATCTCAACAACATTACGAATGAAGATAAGATGAATGAATGCATGTGATAACAGGAATGACAACCAAGATTCCAAGTGTTCATGTCTTCGGCAGTGGCCGCGTCAAGACGAAGGTGTTAGGCAGTTTTATCGAGATTACAATTTACGAGTGATGATTGAGGGGACCTGCCGTATTCTTTCTTGGGGGCTCCCCCAGTTCTTTCCCATATTGATAATTAATTTGGTGATTTCACTAATTTATTGAAAAGAGGCAAAGAGGGGCCAGCCTTTTTGGATCATTACCAAATACAAACACCACTTTAAATTCGGACTTCAAGTCTTTCCATCCCGATTTTCCATTCGTTGACAGGGGAGTTGGTTACGATACTGTCTCCTGCCTCTTACAAACTGGGAGGATTAGCAGCGACATCATATCATAATTCATACGTCCGTCTCTTCTATTGAACTTCCTTGGATTTTCCCATTCTATCTTAGAGAAACTGTCCTGCAAGCACTTTGGAAAGTTCCCGGTTCTAGGCAAAAGAATATCTCCCCTTCATTTTGCCTAGATACGTACTGGCCTTCTCATCTTGTAGCAATAGGTACCTATCAGTACTGTATGTTTGACCGGGATTCCGGAAACCAGCCGTTTCGAGTTCCCTGCTATCACCTCCCGGCATACTCACTTGCGGGTCTTTTCTTGTCAAACCTTAGCTTGCTTGAGTCCTTGACACCCCATACAGCAACATCCACGGTCCCATAAATCCATCATCACCCATTATCCCTCCTTCTACGCCTGCATGAGGTGAATACCCTCACACCTGTCTAACACTTCGGTAAGAGAAATTTGGGATTTATTGGGAATCACGTCTATACCCTTACCTATCACTCTACCCTACCTATCTATATCCACACCCACAGCAAATTTATAGGCCAATCCAACATTATTACCCATCTAATACCTAATGCTTTAAAGATTCTGGTCTGGAAGGGCGTTCATCCTTCTCTGGCATCACTTGCACTAATTTATACTTTTTGATTGTGGCGCGACCCTAGATCAATTCAAGCGTCTATCGAGTGCGGAGTACTCCCTCTAAGTATCTGTACATACAACTACCATCTTCAGTCGATTTTGATCAAATATTGCATCAAAAGAAATTATACCATCTGTCAAAGGTAGTCAATCCTCTTTCCTTTTCTATGGGGCAACACTTTCTCCATCTATGATACAATATTAGTATACCCCAACCTTGATCAATTGGTATGTGAGAAGTAGGCGCATGCGATGCTACTCATGATACATGTAATGATAGATGGTTAGCTGACCCTGATCTACTTCCGCAGTTTCGCTCTTCGAAATCCTTGAACTTCCGATACTCCACCATTCTGTCTCAAACTTCCAGCTTCGTGGCCCCTAGAATTAGTCTGATCAAAATCCAATTCGTGCTTATTCTGGACTTAAAACGTGCCCCCTCATCTGGATGCGGCCAAGTGATCGAATTTTGGCTTCACGACACTCCGCTTCCTCAGATCCATTCTCAATATATCGACGATCCTCACTGAAAGAAGTTCTTTTTTCACATCGGATACTCGACAAATAGGCGCCTACAACCGCGACACGACATCGTATAAGGAAGCCGAATTCGCATTTCAAAATAGGATATGTCCCAAGACCTTGGAACTAGGAGACTACTCCCCCAAAGCTCACAAATGCAGAACTTTTCGTTTGCGCCAACAAACTTTGGCCCAAGAGAGAATCAAAAGAGTGCGCGATCTTGCTTTCGTTTGGGCATTTTGGAGTTGACATGGGCTGATATATCTTAGATTATGTCTTTGTTGACGAACATAATCGCCACAAGCGTTTGAAGGGTATGAGATGACCTCGGTCTATGCGCATTCCTCTACTAATACAACATAGTGATGCGAGCTTGTGAAGGATGTCGAAGAAGAAAAATTAAGTGTGATGCTGCAACAACGAACACCTGGCCATGCTCCGCTTGCACAAGGCTCAAGTTGGGCTGTGTCCCCCCAACAGTGAACTACGATCGCGATTTCCAGCAGAGCAATCAGACTTTCGAAGCAGAAGCGCCGCAATATGATAGTGGTGGGAATCCCAACGGTGGATACCATCAGCAAGTTCCAATACAACAGCAAATGACAGGCCCCTCAAAGGTGGTACCACCAATTTATACACAACAACCTCCATATCCCGATCCAAATAACATGTATCAATCAATTCCATACGGAGGACCCTCGAGTGCGCATAGTCAACAGAGTATGCATTACAATAGTCTTCAAACTCCAGTCAGCGCACTCAGCCAACACACGGAATATTCGCCACAAGCGGTATATCCCATAGCCCCTCTTCAGCAGCAAACACATGATTCACCGGAAAATTATACCCATAGTGAATACAGCGGGGAGGATTTGGCCGACTTGCTAGGAGAACTCAAGATGAACCCCGCAGGCACAGGTAAGCGATTTGCTCGTCAAGTTAAGTTGTAGTTCTGATGAAGAAACAGCTCCATATTTGAACAACAAGAACAGGACCAGAGCATTGGTAGAAGAACCAGCCTTCGAAGACATCGATGAATACAAAAACGCTCTACCCCCAATTACATTGAGCGCAGATATGAAGATCAGAATACCTCCCGAGTTGCTTCCAGACGAACAAACTATCCTTCATTATTTTGAGATGTACTTCACCAATGTACATCCATATGTACCTGTCCTCAACAAAACTTTATTTTACCAACAATGGCATACGAATCGAGATGCTATCTCACCTCTAATATTGGAAGCCATTTTTGCAATCGCTGGAAGGCTTGATGATGAACCAGCGCAGGGCCACCAGTGGCTCGCCCTTGCTTCTAGTAAGACTTCATCTTGCAACTAAACAAAACATTACACTAATTTCATATAGAACATGCTGATGCTTTTATGGATGTTCCGCGATTGAGCACTCTTCAAGCAAACCTCATAATACTTAAAGCAAGAGAATCCGCTCCAAAGCGTGGATATTATTATCGTTCATGGATGACTGTAGTAGCATGCGTTCAAATGGCCAAGGATCTGGGTCTAGATGAGCACTACGGAGACCACAAAGCGGGTCGATCATGCGGTTCTGATCTTGCTGACTGCATTACCAAAACTCGAATCTGGCAAACCATATTCGTTTGTGAATTGATGATCGGTTCTCCACAAGGCCGGACGGATCTCGCGGTCGACATGGAAACACTTGACTTGAGTGTTCCCAGAACTGGGATCGACAACGGAGAACTCACTATTACGCGCAACTTTACTTGGTTCACTCGTGTTGTTCGCAATGTTCGGAGAATGAATAACGTTTACGCAAAAGTCAAGAAGAGAAAGGAGTGGGGTATCGATCCAGACTTCGTACAACTGAACCCTTCCTTCGAAACTTGGATGAATGATCTTCCCGAAAACTTACAGATTGATTTTCCAGCGGACGGATCCCCTCCATGGCTACCTACTCATTTCATTGGCAATCTTCACTCCTACTATTACCTGAGTATTATCATGCTTCATCGTCCACAACTCACTTTCATGGAACCAGGAATGGACGGGTGGAAACACCACATGCTCATATGTTATAATTCTGCGAAACTCTTATGCAGACTTCAAGAAAGTGTCTTACAGTCATTTGGATTAACTGGTCTATTATGCATGCAACGGGGAATCAACTTCACTATCTATTGTGTTCTGACTTGCACAGTTCTTCACTTGGTATGTACAAAGGCCAGCATACTGACTGTTTTTCAGGATATGTTGACAATCTTATAGGTTGCGATCACATCCCCGGATCCGGACTTGAACTCAGACGCCCGGGAATATTTCACCAGACATATGAGAATCCTGGAAAAATGTACCAGCTCATGGCCCATGCCAGATATGCAACAACAAATTGAGTCACTCAGGCAGGCATTTTCAGCTGATATTAGGAAACCTTTCGTTCTGAAGCCATCTTTCCCTTACGGGAGCCCAGCCGCACCACCCCACACTAGTCCTGCAAGAGGAAATGTTCAACAGTATCGACAAGGAAGTACCTCGTTGGAGAGTCAAAATTTGGGACATCAAAATGCCCAACAGCAACAAGTCAGTTACACAAGCCACCCCATATCACCACCCATTTCAGCCGGGGGCGTAGACACGAAAAGTGACTCTCCCGCTGTACAGTCTCTGGTCATGATGGCCACTGGTCAAAGACCCCAAGTTCCAATTACAAGCGGGCTTCAAATGGCAGATAACTCGTCATGGAACCCGTCAAGAATCTTTGAGTAAGTTAATCCCTGACCCGTACCTCCCAAGGACAAGTACTAATCATGTCATCTCAGCCAATGGAACAGCACTTTCGGTACGCCTCCCGCTTCGAGCAGCTCTGCTTCTGAAACGACCCCTCCTCTAAAAACCCCCTCTTCAGGTGCACAAGAACTCCCGACACTCCCAGAAATGCAAATTCTCCCCAACGTGAGCTTACCGCCAGGCTCACAACCTATGCCTCCACAACAATATTCTGGAGCGCCCATCCCCTCGTTTGTGAGCCCTAGTATGTGGCAAGAATCAGTCGCGAATGTGTATGAAAGCGGAATCAAACGACATTGGGATTACTCGGATCCAAATGAGATGGTAAATCCGATCGCCAAACGAAGAGGTTGATAGCCTTGCTTTGGTAAAAGATGAAAGGTGAAAGGTCATAGGTACGAATTCGTACGATTAATGAAGGACAATCGATTTCGATTTCAAGAGAGCCAAACCCGTATCCACCTTATACGCACAATTCCTTTTTGCCAGGAGATTAATAGTCTAGTTTCTATTTCGTACGGACGGTTCGATAGATCAGATGGATCTAATTTTGGGTATACATACGTCTTGGCTCGATCGACGTGTCACGAATTTCGATAATATTCAGGGTAAATTTTCGCATCATATCGGATTTTTCACATTCTGTGTCAACAAATTATCAAATGAGTACATAAATAACTCTGCATACACAATTTCGAGGAACATGGGAGGAAAAGGTCGGATTCATCAGATAGGGAGTCATACACTGGACAGGATCGCTGAATTGGCTTGAAAGCGGGATGAAGAGGGAGCAATTGGGCGTATCATTGGGTTTGGAATGGCTGGAAAAGTGTTTGTCATTGTCCAAGATAATTATTGCCAGGTTGCTTGGAGACCTTGGAAACTTGACATTGTATAATGATGAAATGGTGGGTATGGAAACGGAAGTAGAAAATGGTGTTAGGCTAAAAGATGGTGTGCCGATGCTGTGTCTTGCGGCGAGAAGTGCCGTGGCACACGGTAGGAAATGGAATGACTTGTATGCTTGATATATTATTATGTTCTCATAAGCTGGTGGCTGCATTGTATGTTTGTGTTTCAACGGTGCATTTGGGCCTCTTAGAAATGACGACTTGTCATATCTTTAGTTATGTGTATATGGGAGAAATGGAAGCGGGATTAGAAAGAGTTGCACATACAAGTACATTTATGCGGGTCACAAAGACACATACGAGGTGAAAAGGAGAAAAGCTGCAAAACTGCGAGATATTATTGAACTGAACCTAACCCGAAACAGAATCCCAACCCAAAGTCATACCGAACCAAATAAACTCGATTCAAATCAAAAGCAAAGGGGAAGCCACTAAACTGATAAAAAGAACCCTCAAAATAACAGAACCGTAAAGATTATAACCAAACCACAACAAATAATAGTGAGCCGTGAAACCCTGACACCCCATCATTTCAGTTCCTAAAAGTGACGGGGTTTCAGCTCATGTAACATAGCTACTGTCTTCCGACTTCCCATGTCTTTCTCCACGTTCCTAGAGAGATCATCGTTTGAATACCCAAGTGTGACATTCTTCGAACTCCCAAAAGTCCCAACTTCCACCAAGCTGTACAGAAACCCACCTCCCAGCGCCAATAGAATCCCGACCATATGAGCGCATCCTGCGGACGATGCATTTGCATCTCTGAAAATGACAATCGAAATCGCAATCGAGATGACTTGTTTAATATTCCCCAACACAGCCATCGTAAGCGCGCCTGCTTTCTTATTCGTGGTGAAACTCGACCAGTTTAAGAGGAATGCTACGAGGCCGTTTGTGAGGATGAGAAGGATACCGGAAGAGGAGGTTGAGAGGGGAGAAGAAGTGGATGATATATGTTTTACGAGGAATTCGTCGATTTCGCCGTTCATGTAGGACCAGATGGTGGCTTGGATGCCGGCGAGAGGGGCGACGTGGTGGATGATTGTTAGAGCAGGAATGGAGAGGTGGGTTTGCAGGGAGTGGGTGGAGAAGGTTTTGCAGGCGGACAAAAGGGCGCCGAGGAGACAGAGGATCGTGGTGTCGAGGGTGAGGGTGAGGGAGTCGTGGGAGACGAGGAGGACGCCGAGGGTGAGGGGGAGGAGGGAGATCATGGTGAGAGGGGAGTAGGGTTTTGTGTGTGCTTTGAAGAAGAGGGAGAGGAAGAGGACGAAAATCGGGATGCTGGAGCGGATTACTAGGTGATCCGGGATAGTCATTATTCCACTGCTGGGGGATTAGATGGGTTTGAATGGAAGACTGATGAGAGGGAGGGAGAATTGGAGACTTACAGTGATACATTGCTGACCGCAATATTGATCGTGTATAAGATCGAAAATAAGAGTATATAGTAATTCTTTCTTTGACTTCGATATTCAAAATTTTGAGAATCGAGTCGTTGAGAAACATATGTGCCCATTGAGGAACATAGTGCGTGCCAGGCTGTGAGAAGCCATGGGTATGGATACTGTAAATTGTTAGTAGAAGAACTTGTTTTTGAGGAGAGATCAAAGAACGTGCTTGACAGAGAACACTTTTGTTTAAGAGTGTGAGAAGCAAATTGAGAGCTAGGTAGATTATGAGATGGGATTCGGGAGTGTTGAGTGAGCAAGTGTAGCGAATCATGGCGGCTGTGAGGGGTGTACTGGAGATGGAGTGGTGAGAGATCGAGACGCCATTTTGTAGCGAAACAGTTGAAGTCTGACAAAATTCGAAGGCAGTAGCCATCAAAATTGGCTTCTTATTGTCACAATTCACTTCAATAAGGGTGAGTCGCAATCGAGGCTTGTGAATCTCGAGAGAATAATCGACTGCACCTTCCCAAAGAAATTTCGTTGAAGGAGGTGGTTTCCGAAATAGGGTTGATATGAGTAAAACAGGCGAGGAAAAATACTCTATAAAATATCGTAGCAATCCATTAAGTAATCGTCAGTTCGATCCCATTGCATCTCCTCGAAGCTATTGATATGCTGCGAGTATTCATCTGTACACCCTGCTCAACGAATTAGGAAATCTGCATGTGATTGTGCCAATGAAAGAGGATATCAAGAACTTACAATCCATTTCCTCTGTGATTCTCTGGTTTTCTGGATCAAAGAAAAGCCCAGGAGAAGGAGTCTCGGCGGGAATTGGAGCGGCGGGTCGATGAGGACAGAACTGGATAGGTGCCGAGACCGGCGAGAAGAATGGCGAGGGAGGTTGTTGCTGTGCATGGAGGAAGTAAGGAGGAAGAGGCATTAGCGATGGTACTGCTGGTGCCGGTGCGGGTTGCCCAAAAGGTGCAGAAGAGAAGAAGTTTGAAGCGACAGAATTCGGTGCTGGTGCTGTTGCCGGTACAGGAGAGGCAAAGGAGAAGGAGAAAGGTGCCGAACCAAACATTGGCGCTGGCGCGGGGGATGCGACAGCGGCAGGGACTTGTGGAGGCTGAAGAAAGGTAAACAGAGAGGAAGCCGGGAAAATTGGCGCTGGTGCTGGTGCCGAAGGCCCCTGGGGAAGTGAAGACGAGGAAGTCGGTGCGAACGCAGATGGGGTGGTAGAAGGGGTGTAGGAAGGAATATTTCCATATGGAATTGGAGCAGCCGCCGCTGTGGGTGGAAGGAAGGACGATGGAACGTATGGCGGTGGAAGGTGAGGAGCTGTTGCCGGGGAAGAGGTTGATGGTTGGTTGGATAGGCTACCTGCTATTGAGAACGGAGTGCCATTATTTCGCTTTGGTGGTGGGAGGTGAGGAGCTGGTGTTGGAGAAGAGGTTGATGGTTGGTTGGATAGGCTACCTGCTATTGAGAACGGAGTGCCATTATTTCGCTTTGGCGGTGGAAGGTGAGGAGCTGGTGTCGGAGAAGAGGTTGATGGTTGATTGGATAGGCTACCTGCTATTGAAAACGGAGTGCCATTATTTCGCTTTGGTGGTGGGAGGTGAGAAGCTAGTGCTGGGGAAGAGGTTGATGGTTGATTGGATAGGCTACCTGCCATTGAGAATGGGGTGCCATTGTTTCGCTTTGGCAGTGGAAGGTGAGTAGCTAGTGTTGGAGAAAAGGTTGATGGCTGATTGTATGGGCTACCTGCCATTGAGAATGGAGTGCCATTGTTGCGCTTTGGTGGAGCTACCGCTGGAGGAGGGTTGGCGGGATTGGGGACGACTGGAGCTGGAGCTGGAGTGCCGAACGTCGAATTTCCATTCTTTGTGGTAATAGAAGTGGCGGCTGCCTTCTTTCCTGGAGCAAAAGCATTGGCTACCCATGCAGCGTTGGGTGGGAGATCAAGACCCATTGTGAAATGAGAGAAGGAGAAAGCTTTGAGAAATTGTATTATAGCAGGTAAATTGCTGATGGGACAGCAAAAATTAATATTATAAACTTCTTTGAATCGCTTTCGTATGAAGAAAAAATGAAGAAAGAAGGATTGAGAGAAATGCCAAAAGTCCTACTGATATATCTTTGCGGTACAGCTCAACCATGCCTTTTACACTAGCAAGTAATTGATTCTATTATGGTGAATACAATTGACACGACTGTACAATCGGAATGATTCGCTTGGCCACGAATACAATAAGATTAGGCTCGAAAGTGAATATCATGAAAGGAAGATTCGCTTTTCTTTTCTTGAGCAATGGCGTCTAGCTTATTGTCTCTCGTAGAATGGAACAATAGAATGGCCAACATTACTGAAGACTGTGCAAACAACAAGTGAAGCAAATTGCTAGGCGAGAAAGAAGTCTCGCAGACCACTCTCCAAATTTAATGGAGAGGAGACAGCTAGGTGGTCTTGATGAACGAGAGCAGTAGCTTGTTGTTTGGACTATGCTTATTGCAGCACTCCATATTATCCTCGAAGCATGGCATATTCAGCTTTATTTATTGTATTGTAAGTGCCAAACAGAGCAAAAGGTTTAGATGGTGATCGAATTCTAGGACTTTGCTTCGGTCTGATTCGAGTGAGATAATTCCACATTGTGCTGTCATTGATGTCTAAAGTCATTGGATAAAACACAAGCAAAAGCCTGCGAAGGACGAAGATGCAGCAATGGAATCATAGTATCCAGCAGTTCCGAACGAAAGAACGGGACATTGCAGAAAAAAGCGACCTACCGTTAGGTTCATCGTTCCGGGTAGCCTCTGAAACCCAAGTTGTGAATGAAACACCCAGGCTCATCATTCAAGAATGGCAATGATTGAAGAAAAGTCGTCAAGCTGCGCCCAAGCATTGCGACCTCTGCCCCTGAGCTGGTGGGAGGGGGAAGCGGTGAGATCATGCTACCACCATGAACAAGGCCGGCCTACCGTTTCATATGAGCATTCGTACAGATTATTGATCTATGGATCTGAATAGGCATTGATTTAGTTAGAAGTAATCCGTGCAATAGCTGAAGCTGGAATACTAGAGTCCAGTAAAGCGCTGCAAGATCTCCATCGGATGTGACTGCAGGAGATAGTTGGAGGCAATCTAATGACCATAGACAAAGGCATTCCGTTTTTGTATTCCACGTTTGTTTAGACTTCGAACCTAAGATCGACTGATGGAATACTGTATCATCTCTGTGGGCTGAAAGAAAGGGGGGTACCTTCTCAACTGAGGGACAGCAGAGCAGAGGCACGTCTCCGATTGCGCCTCAAAGGTCGTGAAGTGTCGCCACATCCATGATGAACGACACGATCTCTATGTGTTTGTTTGAAGTCCTTTGATACGAGACGTGCTATGTTCGAGTTAATCCGCATATTCAGAGGCATCGGTCTACCAAGCACGCTGCGATCAAAGTTGGGAATTGACAGATCATGTGATATACTTTCAAAACACTATGCTTTGATTGGTCATGCAGGAACCTTAGGGTTATGTGTCATTAAATATCGTTCGACAGCATAGTATTGGCCAATCATAATCCCAGCATACGCTTACTCCGTGACAGGGAAACCTATATTTTGTTGCATGTCTAACATATTCTCAGTCAGGTGGAAGTTTATCACAGGACCCAGGGGAATTCTTTGGAGCTAGAAATACAAGTCAGTTGCTCAACGACACTGGTACACCCACCATATATGCATTGGACCTTCGCATAGTTACTAATGTCAAGCTTAATCATCTATAATAAGTAACATTGTCAATAACGATTGATAATGTTTTCTTAATTTGACTGTCTCTTTGTGTTAGAATCTTAGGATTGCCCCGTGCTAGGTGGTACGCGGTGTATTTTTTGGGCCTGAGGGCACCAGCAACGCCAGATGAACTGTTTAGTCTGAGTAGGAATATTCAAGCTAGTTTTGCACATCTACCTTTTGACTGCTTCACTGCGACTCCACACGCCGTATGAGAGCGGTTCAATGCTCCCGATAGCCTCCTCCCAGTCGTGTCGCTGATCTATCAAGTATGATAGGGACCGCTACGTTTGACCAATACTCCTTAATGTATACTTTCAATCGCTTCACAAACCTTCAACAATTAAACTCTCATGGTACAGAGTCGTTCCTTCCGATAGTTCGGGAATAGGCAGTTGCCGAATGACGATCTAGCATCGATAATAAAGATGGCAGCGTACGGTACTTCCTTCCTAGTGTGATGTGTCCTTCTAGCCGTTGGTATCATGCTGTCAAGACCTCGTTCTAGACCTTTGGTTAGGATCTCATATTCATATCTGCAATAGACCAATGTGTTTCCGTACTAAACCGCAAGTGTGTGAAGTTGGCATGATCTAAGGTCATGATCAAGATAAAATCACTGGGCCATTGGAGGCAAGTGCGATCACTTCCCACTCCAGTTAGATTATACAAGATTTTAACTCTACATTGATGGCTGAAAAGATGATTGGCTCATCCGATATCGTCGAATTGAAAAGGAATTCTTGGCGAGTCGACTCAATTTTCAAGTAGTACATGTCAATGTATTCTAGCTGCCGAAGCTAGGCGCCAACCCATAGAAACTTGATAACTGGATCTTCCAATCAAAACTTTCAGAGCTATGTCAAATGAGTTTGTTGCACATCTGATCTTATCAGTTTGCAAGGTATACCCTAACAAGCACTCTGTCAAGCTCAATGCTTAGATGTTGCTCGTGAATCCGCTTCATGGCCATTCCCTATTCATCAATCATTGGGCCCATCCTCGCCGCCTGTGCATGACTAATAACTATCTCCTTTGCGCCAATCATGCTTGAATCAAGAGAACCTAATCATAAGGAGTATTCATACAAGAGCTTTAGTCAAATGAGTCTATCTCTATCTCTCTCCGCTATATTACAAAGATCGCCTATCTTAGAATCTTCCAAAGCTTTCCAATTACTCTAGAATACGCCAACATATCGTCATGTGTATATCTCCTCATTCCAAATTGTATGAATAGATATACTTTTTGACAAGTTCCTGCGATTCTGCTACACTGAGAGAATCTGAAGAAAACCCCAACTCCTCTTAGTTTCGTTGATAGTGATATACTAAGGTCAATCAAAATCGATGACAGCTTCCAACTAGTCTACTGCACTTAGTCCTCGTTTGTAGCATGACCATCATGTCCTAACATCACAAACCACCACTAACAAAAGTCTAAAATCGATATTCTTCCCTCGTAGTTTCTCACTTCCTAACATCCAATAGTTCCACACTAAGCAAAATCACGCTTATCACTCCTATATAAACCCCCACCTCCCCTCCCATTTCCCATTTCCTTTTCCTTCTTCTTTCCTCTGCATCACACACCAGATATACCAAGTCGATAGCTACTTTGAGTCTTTCCTCGGAAACCACCAAGTCCATCGTTACTTTGAGTGATCTCCTGTGCGATACATTGAAAAGTTCTACCGAGTCAATCGCTACCTTGAGTGTTTCTTCGGAATCTACCAGGTCGATGGATACTTTGAGTGTTCTTTTTTTGGCTATACACTTTTGCTATACAATTTTTGCTATAATTTTTTGATCAAGTGATCTTTTTTCGCCATAAATTATGTCCAGGATTTGAAGTGTAAGTTTTTCTTTTTTTGCCCTTGTGAATTGTGTTTGCTGGGATGGTAGGTTGGTATTCTTCTTCTGTGGAATTTTATATTGTGCTTTCTTTTCTTGATACCAATCTGTCATTTCATGCTTTTATCATCCGCGTAGAAAATCAATCCACACTTTCCATTTTTAAGGACCTCGAGCATCTTTTGAACATGACTTTTAGGCTAGAGAGAAATTTTTCTCGACTCTTTCATGTTCACTAATATGAAGTGACGAAGGAAATGCCACTTCTCACATTCCACCCAAAGGCAAGGTGAAAATTTCACGCGCCATGCCATTTTTGTCATGTCTAAAAGTGCTTCTCCATTTCGTCATCTAATTGAGCATCGTGGTTGAATTCGAAATTTCAAACTTTGATCCGGCGTTAAGTCTACTCAATCGTGAGATGATTGACTAATCTTTACCTTCCTTTCTCTCCTAGTCTCTTCTCGCTTCCCTGTATCTCGTGTATGCCGCATCACATATAATTACAACGCCACATTGCTCAATACTAAGGTCTCTTTCCCCTCATCCAAATCTCTAGTTCCATATGCCAGCAGTTAAAAGGCACCAGTCTAGATCTAGAATGCAGAGAGGCACCTCGAGAGCGTATCAGAAAACAGGAGCAAAAATTACGTAGTAGTATATAGCTGATGAGCTCTCAATCTACACACCCCATTTTCTCTCTTTCGTAGCGAAAGAAAGCTTGTTGCTAGGGTGCAGTGTTTCCAATTGAAAATAGCTTCTATGAAAGGAATAATCCAGCCATCATTGTGAACGATAAGAAACAAAAGAAGAGTCGTACAATAGCTGCAGCTGATTTTTTCCACCAAGATCCCTCGAATGATAAATATTTGTTATGTAGCAGGAAAAAGAAGATAAATAGGGAGGAAGAACTCTGTAAGTAAGGACTTTGCAAAGACAACATTCATAAAAGAGATAAAGGGGAAAATAAAGTCTACAACATGATTATTCAGCAAATCCTATCAAGCAGAAGTTAATGCACAATCATCGCAATCATCGTAATAGTTGCTCTCAATAAATTCAATCTAGGTATCATCTGCAGCTGCACTGAGGAATACATGAAAAGGGAACATATGAAAAGTTAGATAAATATATACCAACCACAAATGGCATGTCAATAAAATAGTTCATATACATAGTAAAAGGCAGTGAAAGATAGGAAAAGAGCAGTTAATAAACGCAATAGATAGCACACCTCGGAACTCTGAAAGGGGAAGAAAGGGGCCAAATGTGCAAACGAAAGAAAACGCATTGACTCTAGAATTCTACACGACAATGATGTCATAATATTACAATACGCAAACGGAAAGGATTTGCGTTAATAAAAGAAGTTCTAGAGGAGAATCGCAAGAAAGGGCATACTTTAACTCGCTATTTTGCTTATTAATCAAATGGGTAGTACATCAGATACTTTCATCCACTCCTTAACCTTCGCTTCCTTGCCCCTAAACCTTGCCTTTCTAAACTAGTCCAAGGTAAAACGCTTATACAATCCAACTCCATTAGTAGAGTATGGGACTCTATTGTTCCATTCACCCAAACGCCTTATCATAAAATCAATGTGTATCTTGATACCCACCATGAACGCCTCGAAACAAAATCTTATATCCACCAAGTACAGTCCTATCAGCTGATTGGGCTGCGTGGTAATCCAATAGGTCTTCGTTTTTTCCTTTGCATTCTTCTCAATTTGAGCACCATACTTCCAGCGTCAAACTCCTTCTTTTTAGGATCCCACGCGGCGACGACATCAAAGACCAGGAAAGCCCTGTCAGACTCCAGTTCGACAAATCCAGATACCGTGATAGAACCCCTCGGATGAAGGTTTTGAGTTGGCTGCAACTTTCTGTTGGCCTCGACATACTTTAATTTGGCTGCCATGATGGGTTTCGCAAACCCTGCATGAATGTCCCTGATACTGCTTACGAGTGCAGGGAAGATCTCCTCTATCACGGTTGATTTTCCGGGTCCTGTAATATCCCTAATTTCTTTACTTTTGTCATCCAGATGCTGCTGTGATGGCTCATCCTTCGCATCTAGTGGTCCTTGAACACCCCCTGGTACCTTTTGTTGTCCTTTCAACTCCTTCATCATTCTCTGTGACCGAGCTAACATCTGCTCCAGTGACTGTTGAGCAGGACTCGTTTGAACTTCCACGCCAAAGATTCCTGCTATGCTTCTGAGTTCTTCTGCCGCCAGGACTTTCATGAAACTCCATGAAGATTGAAAAAGGGCGGTTGGCCATAAAACATTTCGTATTTTGTATACTATTTGGGCATCGACGGGTTGTGTAACCCAGGATATTGCATCATCGGAAATTGCGATCCTGGTATACATTAGTCTCAATTCATATAATCTATGCGGGGAGTAATATACCCTGATCTTTCGAATGACGGTGGAGGAATTGAAGGAAAGTCAATATCGAGCCAAATCCTTCTGCTTTTTAGATTCTTTCCGGCGATTTGTACGACGATCGGACTGTTACTAGCATAATCCCGCATTAATTCCGTCAAGTCAACTGAAGAATGTCAGTAATCATAACGAGTAATTCAAATGAGTTGAGCAGTAGACGAACCCCTAAGTTTGTTCATAAGCTTTGTATCCTGACTAATCTTGATGAACTCTTGAAATTCTGGATCAGTTCCTCTGTAAGGAATGGTTGGCAGCTGTCTCGTAGTGCCAGGAAATGGTATGAATAATGGTGGTTCGGCCTCTTGCCATTCCTCGTCTGGTATATGTTTCGATGCCTCCTCAGCAGCCTTGTCCAAGGGACCGAGAACTAGTCTGGTGTAAACTTCAAAGCAGGCATATACCACTATAAAGCTGATGGCGACGTTTCTATGTAGCATCAGCACGTATCCTTCCTGCAGACAAACTCTGAGCATGCATACCTCATTCTAACGGGTGGTTTCCTGAAGCGAACTACATGTAGATTTGATGCCGTCCCTGCGAATCTCTGAGCATTGCTCCGCATATGTAATGAATTCGCAGCAAAACAGCTAGGTCCTGGTCTCGCCCGTATATTCGTTGCCCACGTACCCGTCAACCGGGGTTTAATGAATCGGAACATCGTGAGGGGTAGAAGTCAAGGCCCGCCTTCGAGTTGGCGAGCCCTTGATGGCAAAAATCTGTGGCGAAATGAATAGATTCTCGAGTACCACGAATGCGATGGCGATGCGAGATCCAGCAGAGTTTACAGGAGGGAATTGTTGATAATCCAGTAATAGTCGTCGGGGTATGTGTGAAAGTATAAGATATTTGGTAGTAATGCACAAGAGCGCAAGATGGACGAGGTAGATATTCTAAAAATACTGAGTCGGCATTGTGTCCATTTATCTCCGAATAAAGCAAATAAATACCTACACACAAGGAAGGCCTTTGATGACAAAATTCTCAAATTTGGATCAATAATACGGTAATATCGAAGAATAAATAGCTTCAATGGGCAAGTTTATATAATCACAATGAGTTATTATAACTATTAGAACTTTGAGTACATCATAGGTATTCTATAATATCAGCCTAATTCCGATACAGTTAGCGTCTAACTTATGCTTAGCTTGGTACAAACACCTTAACACCTTGAGGTTATCAGCGTCAACACTTCCCAGAACGTCGCTTTATTAGTATGAGCCTCTCAAATCAAATCAACATAACTCATCAAGAAATATGAAGCTCTCCTCCAGCTTCCTTTTGCCATTGTTGGCCAGTACAGTTTGTGCCGCATCAGATTCCGCTCTTGCCTATATCCTCGAAGGCCAACAAAAGCCAAACAACCTCATATCACCTCCAGCTCTTTCTCCAAATGAAGCACGCCTCGTCCTCGCGCAACGATTAGGCGTATCACAATTTCACGATGTCGGATCGGTTGGCAGTGAGGCCATTAAATACATCAATAAGTTTGGAGGTCAACTGAAATCATTATTCAACGATGCGCCAAAAGACAGGGCGGCTGAGTTGGTTATCATCGTTGAGGGTGTATCCGAAGAGACGGCTGGATCACTACTAGACTCGTTATCTTCTATCAAACCAGCATTCACAATCTCAAATCCACCTACAGCTAGGACGACAGAAAAGTTGGCAGATGATTTGGAATTGCAAGTCGGAAAGGCGAAGAAATGTACTCTTGACGATGCTATCAATCCATTCGCAGATCAATGCTGGAATGGAAAATCAAAGATTATGCACCTTGACTTGAATAGAAAATCAGAGGTATGGGTATCGTTTTATTCGTGAGGCTAATGGCTAATGTTTGCGACAGCACAAGGAGTTTATCAACACATCTTACGAACGATTGACCAAATTCGCCTCAAAAGCAGAAATGAATGTTATGGTCGTTCTCATGCCTGAATCCCGCCGAGGTAGCGGCTCTTACGGTTCTTATACTAGACCCTCACAAAAGAAGCTCTCTAGCAGACAACAATTCGAAGAACCAATGGCTGAGTTTGTCGACCATCAAGTACAAGAAGCCCCAAGTTCCAATTCTTCCCGCAACAACAATACCGTCATCAAGACAACTCTTCCCGTTTGCCACGCTTCCCTGGACTCCTGTATCTCTTCTACCAATAACTGCTCATCAATGGGCGCTTGTTATAAGAAATACACCTCCCAATCTGGGGATTGTTTCGCCTGTAGATGTGGCGTTGATTCAGGACGTGGAGGATCCGCTTGTCAAAAACAAGATATCAGTGGGCCATTCTGGTTAATTTTCCTTTCCAGTCTCGTTCTCGTTGGACTTGTTTCATGGGGAATTGGTATGCTATATAGCATTGGTGATGAAAAATTGCCTGGCGTTATTGGTGCTGGTGTTTCTTCCGGCAAGACAAGATAAATATTTGTATGACTTCTAGAAAATATGTATGCTTAGGATCGAAGATTGAGAAATTTGAAGGGCTTTCATTTTGTCAGGGTTGGCGTTTCATATGAAGAAGGGAGAGCTGGAGAGACTTGTATTTGTTTGTCTAGGCTGGCTGTATAGTGGCCAGTGTATAGACACGACGTGTCACTTATTTATAGCAATGAAATTTTATCAGTCCTTATTATCTTTTCAAAAGGCACGCACATAGATGATTTGTTATTCTTCTTGTCTCGCCCATAAGTCTTTAAAGATGTGCTTGTTCACATTCTTTCTACCAAGTGGTGGCTTAGTGTAAATGACTCGGTCCAGAATTCACGAGTGGCACTTCTTCTAATTCCCGCTATCTTCCACTATCACAACCTTTCATTCTCAATACCTTTTCAAAGAATCAAGTGACTTTTCAAAATAACAAATTGTAATTGGAAATATGCAATGTGGGAAACTCAATCTTTGGTCGTCTTTCTGTATACTTGAAGTGTGGAGAAAATCATAGGGATCTGGTTGGTTTGATGGGTTGGGGGTTATAGAACACGAAATGAGGATATACTGGAAATTTGCATTATTTCCCTGATATGTCTCCCCGAATATATAAAAAAGGTTCTTGGGATGGTTTTCTGGTAGCAATTTGATCTCAGGAACGATTATTTTGGGCTTTAGAAAGTGTAATGGAGAGGTCTTATGTAAAGTAGCACATTTTATCATGCGAGGACTGAGTGTCTTGAGCAATCGTTCTAAGTAGGAGGTCGATTTGCAAGTCTCCATTCAATTCCTTTTCGATTGTTGATTCTTCTGTCGTTGCTTCCTCACTGAATTGTTGACAACAATTTTCCATAGTTGCCGCCCGTAGCCGTGAAAACTTCGACCCTCACACTTACGTTGCCCTTTATCTTACCCATACAAGTATGCAATGCGAGATCGCAGTATATAGCATTCGCTTTAGCGCTCTTGACAAGAACCTATCAACAAACTGCTGAAAGAGGTGTTGTTTTCTATATAAGCTCTCCATGTTCACGAGAAGGCGGTCTTTTATAGCCATGGAGGGGATTTGAGTGTGCTCTGTGGCTGACATTCGTTCTTGTTCGAGTATCACTTCACTTCATTGGATTGCAATCCAAAAAAAAATACAGCAGGTGCGGCTACCCGGACTCCATTTCCTAGTTTTCGGACTCGGATTCACTAGAGACATCACGGGCATGGAGATGAATCAACCCTTCCCTACAAAACAAGACTTGAACATCTCGTAATGAAAGAATCAGCAAACGCCCAGAAGATTGGTGCGTCATGAGCCATAGAGCAATTCCTTGCTTTCCATTCTTTTGCATGACCTGTTGTTTATATACCAAAATTCCCTTCAATGGCTGGGTCTTCGTTGGGGTGGAAATTATATTCGCTGTGCAATGTATCTATCTTACGATGGAAATTAACAATAGCGTTGAGACATCGCCGAGAAATTGACAGTGATCGATTCTGATGACAGTTCGGATGTTTAGAAATGATAATGGGAGCTTTATCTATCGATTTCTGGGTGTAAATTTCTTTCTTGATAGAGATGATGTATGAGTAAATGGCTTCTGTAAGGATTAGCGGGAGCTAGAACCTTTGAAACTCGTATTTCTGCTTTTGCTATATTGCGGATATAGAAAGTAACGGGGGGGGATGGAATCTTTTACATAGCATCAACGATACGATACCATGTATTCCTAAATGTGAACGCAGAGTGTAAGAGCCGTGGATTTTTATGAGTGCGAAGCAGTATGAGATAAGATGTAGACTCTAGCAGCGGTATATATTCGATTCAACTTGGTCCAACTAAACTTTCTTTTATTCAGTCTAGCAAACCAAACACGCAGAATTTATATATTTCAAGCTGCTGGTATATAAACCTATCGTGCTCAACTCTGCCAAAGTCTCCATGTACCTTGGCAACTAGATTGGAAGGTATCATTATGTCTCGTGGAGCTATTGCTGAAGACTGAATCCATAAAGAGCAATGAATTTCAATGGAATTCTCTTACGTGCCAAAGCAAAGTAAACGAGTGTTTAGATTCAATAGCAAAACGCATAGGAATGAATCGACAGTGTTTATCCACTGATAGATTGATGGCAGTGACTTATCAATCTATCAATTTTTTGGCGAGAATCCCACAAAATCACTAAAATGTATCGTCGTTCTCTGGGGTATCTACATGAAGGGAGTTTGAGCACTTCTAATTGGATCATTGGATGCTTGATTTTTCTGATGGAAATTTCTCCAACTTTGTCCGAAGTTGTAGTTGACTTTCCGATGATGGACGGGTTTGTATTGTATATTTGAGATTGAGAATCTTCTGTGGTGTGGGATAGACGAATGGATATATGTAGTGCGACTTTCTGGAGGATTGGAGTAGATTTGGAGTTAAGGAGTCTATGGACATGCTACTGATTGCCCACATAGTAGAAATGCTGTTATTTTGATTTTGTGTATAGAAATTCTATCTCACCGCATCAGATCAAACTGTATGTAAAGTTATTGATCCGCAAGTGAGTTGTGTTCCATCGGCGCTGTCGTTCAAGAAAGTCCTAATCGAAATAGGCACGAGTACATTCATCCTATCACTACCTTAAGATTACATGGCTTGAAATCAACCTCCACCCATATCAAGCTCTTTTTCACACTTCTCCTTCCCCTAGTTTCCTCATCCAACTACAATTCATCATATATACACTATCACTGCTATCTTATGACTGCTAGAAGTGCACTTTATTGTCCATTTCTCCATGGCACAACAAATAAGACGAGTTTTCTCTCGTCTGTCAAAATTCCTACCAATATTTCATATCCGAGATTCATGCACATAAGTTCACAATACTAGCTCTCGCCTACCAAAATGGGATCTTCGGCGATCTAAAGATTTTGATGACTTATTTGTGGATGGTGGTAGCTTCTTTTATAGTATGACTTGAGGATTAAACATCACTCTTGTGGATTTACAACTAAGTTATCCTCCTGCCCGTAAGCAATCTAGCCCCAAACTTTGGATTATAGGTATATTATATGAACCGACATGATTAGTTCTATTTCAATAGTCGGTAGTTACTACCTGTGACTTCAGATGTATGTATCCTCTGTAGAATCCAGGAAATGGCGTATTCAACGGAAACAAAAACATAAAATAGATCAACAACTAACCAATCTAAAGGACAATATTCTTTGAGCGCCTTTCCCCGTATACGAACAGCTTTCTAGAACTCTTCGCGGAAACAAACATCCTTTCTCCACCATCGAACACTCATGTCCTACGCAATAGACTCGGATCCGGAAAGAAACAGGGCCAGATATGCATATCTCCTCAAGTGACCCTATTACGATGAAATTCCCCTGCTTTCTATACCGCCAAAAGAAACATCTCCATCCGTGACAAATGCAAACTCAACGAGGTATTCCCAAGCGAAATGACAGCGTGACTACACACAACAAGAGGCAGCGTGATCACAATGCGTGCGTGATAAAATAGCAGAGTAAAACTCTCAAATTTTGGGATTGGTCCGTTGGTCTTTGAATAGGATGTAGACCTGATGCCAGTATTGATACTACAAGTATTTAGTGTTGAGTATATCGCGGGAATGGGACCTGCCTGTTAAGTGTGATGCGATGAAGAGAGATGTCAAGCAGGGAGTGAACTTCTACCCATCCAATAATAATAATAATAAAATTCATCACAATCTCAATCCTCGAATCAAATTCCAGAAATATCTCAATTCAAACTTATCACTCACTCAACCATATCCAACTCTCACAATACAGTGTACTAATCGTCAAAATATCGTGATTTCGTGCGTATATATATACGTGACATATCGAAACTCCCCATCCAAGCACTGAACAACACCATAAAAATGACAAATAATTCTTAGTTAGAAGTAAGAAACATGTGATGATATATCGGCGGTGAGTATTTAAACAACGGAAATGAGATAATAGGTTTTATAGATAGATGTGTGGGGTTTATTGAAGCGATTTTGCTAAAATAAGTAATTATATGTAAGTTTAGTAACTCGATTCGAGTTTTTAAATTGTTATATAAACAAACCCCTTCCTTCCTACTCACTCCTGTGACCTGTCTGTACTCCCACAGTCAGAAGGATACATGTCAACGATGAAGAATCGAAATCTTATATAAATGTAGTAATTTATACAACCTTGGTGGTTTCTTCTTGGGTACCTTCAAGGCTTCACCACTCCAGATTATGATACCAACGATGTAATTCATGTCTTCCTTTCGTCTAGTGTTTCCACAGCTTAGTTTTATTGGAAAGATATCTATCCTATTCTGTCTCTCATGTTTGCTTTTCTGATTCACTTTTCACTCGTATATGATACAGGATTAACAATGTAAGTTTATATTCACACAAATTCGATGGATATAAATGTTGTTTTCAGTATTGGTGTATATGGTAGTATGTACTATCATTACCAGGCTTATTTTTTTTATCTCTCTATACTTCATTATTATTGATCATTGATCATCATCATCATCATCACATCCTCCAAATCCCCTCCCCTAAGATTAAACCCATACAGCTACCAAATATCAGCCTTATTTCCCCTGGCTCCCCTCAAGTTTTCAAGGCAACAATTTGTATCACTCACCTCAACCTCGATCCCCCCAATCCTTGAATCTTAGATCAGAAACGACTTTTGATATCTCTGAATTCTATAAAGGGTATCATATCACATATTATATACCTCATCCTAAGTACACTCGATCATTATCTCCTCAAGCTTCCGCTGACGCTGGACGCTATCTAATCATCTCACCCAGGCATCCAACTCCATCCCCATCCCATCCAGAAAAATTAGCCCACGAGCTAGTCCAATCCAGAAGCCCATCTATCTATCTATCCATCTTCAATCAAAACCAGATCCATACCCAACAATCTTCCTCCAAATCTCATCGTTGAGTTCATTCGCAGATTCATATATTCATAAGTTCATCCCATCCACCCCATCATTCTTCCCTTTTTCCTTGCGGGGGAATAGCATTTTCGGGGCCTCGACCCGGAACATCTATTTCTGCCTCTTTTTCCCTTTCCGTTTCCTTTCCCTTGCCGTTGTCCACCGTAGGACTTTTCTTATTTTCGATTACTCCAATCGAAGCATTCCCCGTATGCGTCCTCTGTGCCTCCATCCCAGCAGGACTTGTCGCGTTC